TCACCATGATGTTTCTCTCTCCCTCTCCCTTCCTCTCTGAAACCAATAAAAATGTATTAAAAATATAGAGTCCCCTCTGCTATGGGCTTGTAGGGCCCCCTGAGGCCACGCACGCCCCAGGGTACATACCGTCCACGTCTTCAGCTTCTCCCAGAACACTTTGAATTCATCGAACTCCAGCTTCCCGTTGCCACTGGTCTGTGCCGAGCCCGTGAAGGAAAACGCGAGTGTGTTTCCCCTGGGGCCCCTCGGGGGACCCCCCGCCTGGGGCTACAGTGGGGAGGGCAGTGGGCTGGCGTGGGGGACCTGGGGAACACAGATTCTTGGCTTTGAGGGAAGTGGTTTCTATCTCTCGCTCCCTCTCCCTTCCTCTCTGAAATCAATGAAAATATTTTTTTTTTAAAAAGAAAAAAGACCGCCCTGCCGGTCCGGGCCACCTTCTGGGAAGGTCTGCCCCGTACAGAGACCTTAGCGTCTATTCTGCCCGCGCGCTGGGGAGGATACGTCCATTAGAGAAATGATGTTCTTACAGGAAATCAGGCTCAGCTTCTCGAATCGAATGCCCTTTTCTGAAATCACACAGAGAGCAGGACTCAGGCCACCCCCCGACAGTACGCCCGCTGCCGTCTTCCGGAGCCCGGCCGTGGGGTCAGCTCGGGGGCCGGGGCCGGGGTGACGTGCTCCCCCTCCGAGGAGGCTGCTGGAGGAGGTAGACATGGCCTTGCGGGAGGAATATTTGCAAAAGATGGAAAAAGCCTTCAAAATGGAGCTATCCTTTCGTCCATTGATTCTAGGTTTAAGAATCACAAGGAAAGTATTACCAATACAGTGGGGCCTTGACTTACAAGTGTCTTGACTAACGAGTTTTTTGAGATACCAGCTGTCTCTCGGCTGATTTTTTGCATTGAGTTGATAGAGTAATTTGAGTTAACAAGCTCCTTAACGAGCTTGGTCTCGGAACGAATTAAACTGTAAGTCAAGGCCCCACTGTATAGACTTTTCTCATTGCCCTGGCTGGTGTGGCTCAGGGGATAGAGCGTTGGCCTGGGGACTGAAGGGTCCCGGGTTAGATTCCCGGTCAAGGGCACATGCCTGGGTGATGGGCTCGACCCCCAGTAGGGGGCGTGCAGGAGGCAGCTGATCCACGATTCTCTCTCTCTCTCTCATCATTGATGTTTCTCTCTCTCTCTCACTCTCCCTCTCGGAAATCAATATATATATAAAGATTTTTCTCATCAGGTTCTTTACGGTGACAAACATTTAGAAACGAGGCACTAACTTATGCCCCCGTGATAGATTATTGCAGAGCAGCAGCCGGTGGCTCCGAGCAGCAGGGCCGGGAGCCGTCCAGGCCCCTCCTGGGAGCCCGGGCCCCGATGGGGTAGGTGGGGGGAGCACTCACTCTTGCTCAGCACAGCATTTAACACAAACTCCAGCTCCTCTGCGGTCACCTCCATGTCCTGTGAGAGCGGAGACAGTGGCTTGTCACCCCTCCGCACCTGCTCTGTGAGTTTCTTTCCGCTCTGAGCTTGACTTGGCTCAAGGGAC